TGTATAGTTAGAGAATGCCAAGTATCTGCACTCATTAGTGACTCCATCCAGGCTCTAAAAAAGATCTTTTCACATCTCTTACCTTAAATACTCACCACCAAATGTGACCGTGCCTATGACATGAAGAAGACAACTGCTTTGGAATATGAGAGATTTACGGTACAGAGGAAGTAGAAAAGTTACACCAATTGACTTGTAAATCCTAAGAGACAACATAAATACAAGAAAATTTTCTGTAGTAAAGTATCATTTCCCCCACAGTACCAAGTGTCGGGTCTCTTGCTTGTCATATGCAACATATAGTGATTCCAGAGATAAATAAGAGTGGCATTCATAATAGTTGTTCGGAGAGGCTGAGAAGTATTCTGATATTAGATAATTTATTTTACTCTTAAATATATGTTTATGTTAGCCTAGGCATCACAAAAAATGACATCCAGATGAACAGTTCAGAAAACTGCATATTATTTTACTTTTAGAAAAAACTTCAAAGATTCCAAACGAAAGTCAATTACAGTTTTATCTAAATTTTTCATTGTAGTTGCTATCCATTAATAATATCATGTATTTTGGCTTTTAACTTTTGTATATATATGTTTAGAAGCTCAGTTTATTTTAAAGAAAAATTTAACATTCTAAACATTTTATTTTAGGTTGTATTTTTTTTATAAATGTACTAATATTTGTAAACTTTCAATATGATTTTTTTCATCATTTAGATTAGCATGTAACAAACTCTTTCTACAAAGGACTAGAGAATAACTATTTTAGTTGTGTAGACCATACTTATTTCTGTCGCAATTCAACTCTGTTGAATACTATACAACTGTAATAATATACAACAAATAAACAAAGCTGTGTACCAATAAATTTATTTAAAAAGCAGGAAGTGGACCAGATTTAACTCGTAGGTTGCAGCTTGCCAACGCCTACGTCAGATCATCATGAAGTTCTTTAATAGAGTCCATTCTCATACAATGGAGTAACTTCTATGTTCTTAATTTAACCTTATATTGGTTTTGCTAAAGCTCTATATTAAAGGTTTAAATACTTAAGACCAATATTCGGACAAATTAAACAGAAAGCTTGTTAGCTAGGGAACACAGATTAATGAATTACCTTCAATCTTTCCTCAAATATAATTTTGTTACTTAAAATCACTACTTAATATTTCATCACAGTCTGGCAAATTATATGAGCCATCTGGCAAATTATATTTGTGGGAAAAAAATGAAATTAAAGTAAAATGCTTTGGGTGCAAAAAGTATTCTGAAATTGTGTACATGAGAGGTCTTCAGTTTGCGGAAACATGTATAGTGAAAATGCCTGCATTAATTTAGTATTTTTGCATGAAAATAAGTTTTTCTATTAATTTCACTTCCTTTTTCTAAGATTTTTGAGGTATAGTTTACTCATTTTTCTTTTTTCAGCGTTATTATTCTTCTTATTGTTTTCCCTGACTTGGTTTTGTAAGAGTGAGGATTCCCTCCCACCTTTTTTTCTCTCCTTCTTCCTTCCCCGTGTTCTCCTCCCACCAATTTTCTCCATATTATTACAATGGTATAGTCCTTCAGCAACAGACGTAAGTCCAACATGCTGTTGTTTAAGTGTATCAGGCATGATAGGCATTGGAAAAGATGGGCAATTTAATACATTGTCAAGGCATATTTAACAGTTTCATTGGGAGTACTCCTTTTATTCAGGAGTGGAGATGCATACTGCCACAAATCATTACTTCCTGATTTGCTAGCCTCTATTATGCAGTTCATCTATGAGAATATGTGTATAAATATATTTAGGTATATATCCATTTGTTTTGTATTTACATGAATGCTGCCTTTTTTCCACTGGGCAACATTTGACCCTGTCATTTTAGCATTGGGTTTCTCATAGATTGCTTTTAGATTTCTTCTGTGTGTTTATTGAGATGTCCTCTACGATTGTCTTTGGATTTGATAAGTGTGCTTGTTTTTCTGTCTGTAGCACAACTTTAAGCAGCATTTGTAGAACAAATCTGGTAGAGGCAACGTGCTTGAGGTTTTTGCTTGCTGCAGAAGTTTTTATTTTCATTTTCAAATACAAAGGAAGGCTTTGATGGGTATTTTACTCTGTTTTTTTTTTGTTTGTTTGTTTGTTTTAAGTTTTATTGTTTCATTTTATTACACAGTTTCATAGGCTCTGGGATTCCCCCAACCGTTCCCCATGCCCTCCCCCCACATTGAATTCCTCCATATTGTTACAGTAATACAGTTCATAACCAGTCATGATTCCTTCATTGTGGCCTGGACCATGCAGAGAGTACAGCATCTTATTGTTCAGATAAATTCAACCGTTTCATTGGGAGACCATCCTTGGTCTGAAAGTAGAGCTGGCAGAATATCATCCCCTCCAATGAAAAGCCACTGTACAACTTCAACAACAGGACGAAACTTGGAAATTTACAACATCATCAACATGGTATTAAGTGACCAATATGCTGGAAAATGCAAGTTCTTAACCACATCCTGTAACTACTTCATTGACATCTCAATTTTAGTATATACATAACCGGCTGCTATAAACCTTAAACTGGTTATAGGATACTATTCAGCTGTCCCATGTCTAGTTTCATTTTTATATTTAGCAGCTTGTAATATTCTTTTTACTGAGCTTTGCGATTTTTAGGATAGTCCAAACAGGCTTATTCCTCTAATAAGCTGTACGTTATCAATTGAGGCACAGAACAGTTTTAGGAGGGGTGTGCACAGAAATCTTCAATACCTTAGTGAGGAGTAACTGATCTTTGTGTCCTACCTAGTAAGGTATATGGATGTCCAAGCTGACTTTCTCCTCTCTGTTTTAAGCTTTCCTTATTGCTCTCTGTTTGTCTATCTAATTTTTATGGCTCCAGCCTGATGGTCATTGCAAGAGAGTGTAGGGAGCCAAAGCTGGAACTAAATAAGGACCAGATAAATCTCCTTTCCCGAGTCCTGATGGGACTTTACTGTTCTGTTTCTGAGGATTGCTCAGGGCTGCTGACTGTTGTTCCGATGACATTAGATGATGTGAGGAAGGATCTGGTCTTCTTCCATCCCATGTGGGAGTACTCCAGGCTTACAATTTTTCTTTTTTAGGGTTCAAATATGACACTCCATTCTTTTCTGAGTTACAGATTTCCTTCTGAAAGGCCAGTTGTGAGTCTGATCGGGGTTCCTCTATCAATTAATTTACTTTTCTCTCATGTATATTTAAGTGTCTTTTCTTTATGTTCAACCAAAAACTTCTTCAATGGCCTCCACACTCAGGGCTCCCACGTCTCTACTATCTCTGCTCCATGTGATGCCATGATGTGGACACATTGCTGTCCACTCAGTTTTTTTCCTATTCACAATACCATCAGGGACACTAGCTATGACTTTAAACTAGATCACAGGACTTTCAGCAGCATCTGTTGCACAGATTTTTTTTTTCTTTTCTCTTCTTCCCAAAACCTGCTGGAAGTTAGGTAAGGGAGCCACATGGACCTATTTTAGATGGAACTCGTGGGGCACCAAATCCATGCAGGTCACTATTGTCTAGATCAAGGTTTTGCTACAAAACATGAACTGATGTGGCCCTGTTTGGGTCTGGACTGTGAAATCTCCCCTGTTCCCATATCCATCAGACAGGGCTCTGCCACTCTCCTTTGCCTGTGGTTGAATTAAAATCAGCACGACCCACAATCCTATGACTTAATCTACCTCCTATGTTCCCAATGATCCCTTCCCAGCTGTCTCCAGCGGAGCTCTACTGTTCCTGCTGATTTTCCATGTCCACAGGTTTCCAAGTGTCTCTCTGCCACCATCCTGTCTGTTCCTATTTCCAGGATCATGCTCTCTACACCTGTCCTTCACAAATCCTTCTACATCTATTTTAACTTGTCCTCATCCTTTGCTGCCATCTTGCTTTTTTCCTCCTTTTTGAAAGACTATCATATGAACCAATAAAAATTTTATTCGTTTCCCTTTGTTGAACCTTGTCAATACTATCATAACAACATTTTTTTTCTGTTTCACACTATTTTTTTAATTCTTAAATTTTTACTAGAAAGTCAGATATACAAAGTGGAGAGACAGAAAGGAAGATCTTCTGTCTGATGATTCACTCCACTCCCCAGGTGGCTGCAACGGTCGGAGGTGAGCCGATCTGAAGCCAGGAACCAGGAGCCTCTTCCAGGTCTCCCACACAGGTGCAGGGTCCTAAGGCTTTGAGCTGTCCTCAACTGCTTACCCAGACCACAAACAGGGACCTGGACAGGAAAGCAGGACCACCGGGATTAGAACCGGCACCCATATGGAATCCTGGCATATGCAAGGCAAGACCTTTAGCAGCTAGGCCATGCTGCCGGGCCCTCACCCTGCTTCTATAATTAGAATCCTAGATATTAAATTGAGTGGGTAAGACATAAAAAATTTAAGATAGCTGACATATATTTTAAGGTTAATTTGCTCAAGTATTTGTGGAAATTTTACAATTCTACTTAAGTTTTTAAATTTGGCAGTCTGCGTGGATTTTAATTTTTTTCGAAGTCCATTATGAGAGATTCTAAGACTCTGATATATATTACTGCATGAAAGACTACTGTTTAAAAACAGACACTCATCTCAACAGAAGAGTTTTAGGAAGCTTGACTAAGTGTTTAGAAAGCACAATGTGTTGAGTGAAACTTGGTGTGCAATAAATATTGATATTAATTCAAGGTCATTTTGGATGACTAATCTGTCATTTTCACAAAGGAAGCATACATTGAAACAAATTCTTCTGGTTACTTTCTCAAATATCCAACACAAAGGAGATAAAGGGGGAAGTGTTCCATGAACACCATAAAAAAGCAAGCAGAACAGCTAATGCGTAATTTGGAGAAATGACCACACACACACACATACACAACAAAAGAGAACACCTTTGAGAGGCATGAAAAGCTAGTACTGGTATTGGAGTTTTACTAAATCTTCAGCTAAGTCGTGCATTTGAACTTCATAATGCTTTGCAAATACTTCTTTGAAATTGTGTTGGTGCTGCTGGTCTCACCCATTGTCTTTTCCCTGGAACTGAAGATGGTCCCCTTCCAACAAAGAAGGATGAACATAAGGATTTTAAAATCCTGGAACAATTTCCAAACGTCGAGAATTGAGCAATGCTTACAATACAGGAAAGATTTTGGGCTTCCCCAGATGTTTGTGAATCTTTATCAGTACCAGAAAGGACAAGTACTGGCTGTTCTCCATGAGACATTTCAGCAGCTACTCATCCTCATCAAAGAAAATTTTGCACTGGATGGTGGAAAGAAAAACTACCTGGCAAAAATCCTTACTGAGCTTCATCAACAGCTACAGTACCTAGAAGGATTCATAGAACTGGAAACAAAACAGAGAAATGGTGCTGTGGGTAGTGAGAACCTCAGATTACAGATTAAAATGTATTTCACAAGGATCCATGACTACCTGGAAACCCAGGAGTACAGTAGCTGTGCCTGGACCATTGTCCAGGTGGAAATCAACCGGTGTCTTGTCTTTGTGTTCAGACTCACAGGAAGACTCAGCAAGGAAAATCAGAGCCCTGAATAGTGTGGTGCCAGAGCTGCCTACAGTCTTGAAAAGCATGAGCAGGTGGAGCAACAGGAACTCCTTTAGATGTAATCACCTCTTTTATTATAAAGTGACATAAAGTGTTTTATTATTTTATTTTATTTTTATGTAAACATATGTGTGTATATATATGTTCCTATATTAAAAAAGTATGTGTTTACCCATGTCTTAAGGCCATGGTTATTGATGACAATTGTCTTGATTTTATAATGTAGCTTTGTGTTTTCTACCTTTTAAAAGTTGTTTATGAATAAAATAAATTTAACATATCATATTTCTCAAATGATTGCATTGTCATAAAATTGGTACCTATATATAATAAGTCACTATTCTAATAATACTTTTTCTTATCATAGCATATACATTTCAATAATTTTCTTTTTGCCTGAAATTTCTAGAGGCAATGAAAAAAGAAAAAATGCTGGAGTGATTTGCAATATTTAAAAAATACTAGGTTACAAGGGGCATAATATAAATGTTGTCAAATAACATGAAAGTTTTGCAGAAAAAAATATTCCACCTCATTCATAAAATACAGGTTAAAATTACAAATATACCATTTGTAACCTATCAGAAAAAAGTCCAAAGCTTTATAAAATAAAAGAAGCATTCTTGAACCAGCAGATAGAATCTTTCTCTTTCTCTTTCTCTCCTATAAAAATACTTACACATGCATGTGAAATGACTTACCTGAAACATTACTGAAGCATTACTTATACTATCTGAAGAGAGGAAACTATTTGATACTTCCATTTACAGATAGTTGATGTAGCCCAGGTTGGGAAGCTTTTTGGTGCCAAGAGACAGTTGATTATTTTCTAAAATCACTTTTGGGCCACACACTTAAGAGCTAGCTTGCTATAGATTTATTGGATTTCAAGTATCATCTGTGGTTGTCTAGGCAGGGCTAGATCAAATGATTTCATGGGCCACAAATCCCCCACATCTGAAAAGAAACAGCATTCAGATAAAGAAAAGAATGAGGGAGTTCTCTATGTAGCAAAAAGATAAAGAAAAAATAGGCAGTTGAAATAGTAGAAATAAAATGCTATATTTGGGATAAATCTGTGAAATCAATTTAAGATGTGTAATTACCATGCATGAAGAACATTTGAGAAACAACTTACAATGATCACTTACATTTGATGGAAAGGTGCACAGACTGAGACAGGATTGAGAGGTTTGGGGGAAGAGATTAATTTTAATTTAATTTTGAAGCTTGCTTTACAATAGAAATGGGTTAATATGTGTCTAACAAGACATGAGGCATGCATGAAGCAGCCTTTCTGGTGAAGGGAAGAATTAAATCAAGGTTGGAGGAAACAGTATTCAGCCAGCCTGTCCTTTGTTGATATGGCTGAAGGAGCAGGACTGGAGAGATGTTTGTCCAAGTTACACAGATGCTCCTGCTCTTGGGAGAGAATGAGGTTGAAAGGAATTCAGCTCTTCTAGCCATGAGCTCTCAGAAATTATCACAAAATAAAAGCAGGGTCAGTGCCTGATGCTGAGTCCTTGACTTTCCCACACTAACAGCCTTGGCCCCAAACTCTTGATGCTAATTCTATTAACTTTGTGTCATTTTCTACTTCGGATATAATGCACTCAATTTTAGATAGGTTATTACTAAATATCAAAGCTTTTTGAGCAGCAAGCCATGTTGCAATTCAGTGTAATTAGTGCATGTGGGTATGTTAATGAGTGGCTGATGCTTCTAGATTTGATTTGAAATGGAGAAACAGCAAGTGGATAGGATCCTGAAGAAGAGTCAGAGCCACTAGCAACAAGGAATGGGGCAAGAAAAAGGCCAACGTTCAGGAGCAAGCCTTTCATCAACTTCACACGAAGGCCCGGGAATTGATTTGTTTACCTTCAGGTTCACACAAAGGTAATGAAATGGAGAGAGGGGGAAATGTTTGCCATACTTGAGTGCCACTACAGGTCACTTTGCTTCTCATGGCCTATATAATTTATGGTGTTTCTTTTCTTGAAAATGAGGAAGTTTTCAGAATCAAACCTTTATTCTCTATTCAGTTCTCAAATTAACCTTGCAAGATACTTTCTGTTATTTTCCTCCTTTCTCAGATGAGAACAAGACTTTAAAGATGAAGTAACTGACTTAAAATAATAATAAACCACAGATTCAGCAAATGCCAGAGCACAAAATCCAAGCTGATTCGACTTAGCTCTAAAACCTACACTGTGTTCTTCATGTTCTAGAAATCACTAACTTGAATAGCATTGTGCAATGTAATTGCAAACAATTATGTCTCTGACAATAATAATTTGACCCTGGCTTTCATTATCTACACTTACAATGCTTTCTGCATTCTTGCACTAAGAAACATTTCTTCTAGTCATTTTTTTCTTAAGAACAGAAAGCAGAATGGAAGAGCTATCAAGTGGAAATTTACAGCAACTAACACACAGAAACTAAAAACAATGCTTTACATATTAATGTTTTCTCCAGTTAGCTTCATTATGTTGAAATCCTGGTTGTGTAACTATGCCAATGCCTAGCACAAAAATAAGAATTGCTTACTTGGAGGCAAAGGCAAGTGTCATTGTGCAGTGGGAAAACCACTTCAGATGCTGGTTCAAATTTTGACTACTTTGTTTCCAATCCAGCTTCTGGCTAACACACTTGAGAAAGAAGTGTGAGATCATCCAAATCCTTGGAGGCTCATAGGTAAGTCCTGGCTCCTTGCTTTGTGAGCATCTGCGGAATAAACCCCTGGGGAAGAGCTTTCTGTCTCTGCCTCCAGGCCTTTCTTTTTTCTTTGTTACTTTTTTAAAATTATTTTTTAAGATTCATTTGTTTTTATTGGAAAGGCAGATCAGATGTCTGGAGAGAGGACAGAAAGATCTTCTATCTGCCGATTTACTATCTAAATGGTGAACAATGGCCAGAGCTGAGCCAATCTGAAGCCGGGAGCCAGAAGCTTCTTTTGTGTCTCCTACATTGGTGCAGGGTCCCAATGCTTTGTACCATCCTATGCTGCTTTCCCAGGCCACAAGTAGGAAGATGGATGGGAGGTGGTGCAGAAGTTGGGACATAAATCAACCCCATATGGGATCTTGGAACTAGCAAGGTGAGGATTTACTCATTGTGCCATCATGCCATGTCCTCCATGCCTTTCTAAATAAATCTTTTCTAAAAGAGTTTCTTGCTTTTAAGTATAGATTCTCTTTTAAAAACTTTTACACCAGAGTTTCAAGCTTTGAGATATCAGGGAGGAGACATACTTTGGAAGACTTACTCCAGCTAGAACCATGTGAATGGGCTTCGGATAAATTAAGGTCGTTTTCACTGGAACAGCAAACAGGAGCCCTGGGAGGTTCTCAGAGATAGAAGAATTGTACATTTCCTTCTGGTCCTTATTGGTTCCAACTTTGGCTCCCCATCCTCTCTGGCAATGACCACCAGGGTAGCTCAGGAGTCCCATAATCACCTTAGATAGAGATTAATATAGAAAGATTTGGACAGGAAAATGTCAGCTGGCCTATAATTACTCAGCCTGTACCTTACTGGTCAGGCTCCTGACGTGGCCTTTCCTAGAACTCACGAGGTAGCATGCAGAGTTCAGTTATTCCACACTAGCTAAGACATTGGAGATTTCTCTGTGCACCCACCTAACACTGTTCTACTCCTCAATTGCTAATGTATGGCTTGTTAGAATTATAAATCAGTTTTGATTATCCTAATATGCATGAAATTCTGTAAAATCTCGCTTGCATACTATAAACTGTTAAATATAAATATAATCATAAAAAAGAAACTAATAGCACGCACCAAAACCAAATGCAAATGTGAAGATCATCCCAGTTAAATAACAACAAAAGACTAAGTCAAACAATGGACAACCCTAAAATGACAGGGCAAAAATACCACCTACTCATATTAACCCTGAATGTAAATGGCTTAAACTCATCAATCCAACACCGTAAATTAGTAACTGAATTAAAAATACAAAATCCACCTATCTGTTGCCTACAGGAGATGTATCACACCAACAAAGATCAACAGAAACTATAACTCATGGATATTGTTTTTGTTTTTATTTTCATTTCTTCAAAGTAGTTTTTTCTTTCTTTTTTTCTTCTCATTAATTTCTTTACTGACTCATAACTCATACCATGTCTTCAATAAGGTTCTTGATAGTCTTCTTCATTGTTTCAATTAAGTATCAGTCACTCAGTAGCATGTTATTTAACTTCATTGTACTGTAAATTTCTGTTTTTCTTCCTGTTGTTGATCTTATACTGTGGCTTTTCATTTAAGGGAATGTATAGTAACTGTTTAATGGAGACTATCATATCCAGATGTGAGGATTCATGCTGTATGCATCTCTACTTCCAGATTAAAGATGGACTCCCAATGAAACTGTTTACTATATCTTGGCAATAGGATGCTGGACTTTCTGCCATTGTCCATGACTGCAATGATGGATTTATGACTGTGTATGAAGAGCTATACTACTATATTAATAAAGGGGAAATCAGTGGGGCAAGGAAGATTCTTCGGGAAGGGGAATGGTAATTCCAAAACCTATTGAACTGTATCATAAAATAATAATAAAAAAATAAGGTCATTTGACCTCATAGGCTGGATCACTTGACTCACCCTCGTTCATCTACATGTACTGTGCAGAACAGACTCCAAGTCAAAAAGCAGACTGCAAAATAGTAAGCATGGGGCCAGGGCTGTGGTGAGTTATCCACATCTCACACTGCCAGTATATAATATCCAAGTCCATCTTGACTACTTCCAATCTAGCTCCCTATTAATACACCTGGAAGGCAAGTAGTGGAAGATGACCCAAGATTTGAGACTCCTGCCATCCAGATAATCAGAATGTGTTCCAGGTTCCTGGATTTGGCATGACCTATCCCTGGCTATTATTACCATTTGGAGAATGAACAAGCAGACAGAATATATCTGTGTCTCTCTCTGTCACTCACTTTTCCAATAAAGAAATAAA